AAACCAAACACCTGGCTTTTGACAGAAAGTGGAAGAATATGGAAGATTCACTGCTGAGTGAAGCAAGCCAGGCTATGAAGGAGAAACACTGTATGACCCCACTTAATATATACCGAGTGTCTGCACTCTATAACTGAAACTCATTGACTGAAGGATATACAAACACAGTAAATGGGTATAAATACCAGATATAGTGTATGTGGAAGAGTAGGGCCTGAGAAAGGACATGTAGAAGAAAAATATGAAAGCAAAGCATTAATGAAACAAAGAAATGTGGTATTATCTGTTGAAGATATTTTATAGTTTTATCAAAGGACTAGGGAGAAATGTTCGCATATTGAAATATTCACTTTGTAAGCTAAATAATGTGATTGAATGTATAAAATAAAATGAAATTTAAAAATTTGAAAAAAGAAAAAAAGAAAAAGTAAAAAAAAGAAAAAGAAAAACTGAAAACAACAAAGAATTGAAAGCAAACTGAAAGAAATGAAACTGCGTAATTAATATGCAACATAACCCATGAAAAATAAGTATTTGATATTACTTTGGCCATAATACTCTGATTATACACCCTTAGTGGAATATTTAAAAAGATAAAAAAGAATGGCAAAGCAAATTTTAAACTTCACTCAGTAGTTGTATTGTTAGTAGTATTAGTATTGTAATTTGAAAGCAAACATTAATGGCACTAGGAACCAGAGATTTTCAGCATAAGGAAAAACAGTTAAATTATAAAATCAAAGAATGTAAGGGAGGAAATACTGTAATGTCAAATTTGAATTGCAAATACTAAGGTAAGCTTATTATTTGGCAAAAATGCGTTTCTTAGCTCTGTCTACTAAAAGTGTTTAGAAACCAACCCAGTGGCTGTGAACACGATGTCCAGATCTTAGTTTCAAAATACCATGTCTTATTAAGGAAACTGTTCTTTAGAGAAATAGGTGCTTTTTTAGGTCAAAACAAAGAAAAGACTTTGGTGAGCTTAGTTCTATAAATCAAAGAAACACTTAAAAAACAATGTAGCTAATTCAAGAAGAAACAGATAACTTGAGTAACTCTAATTAAATAAACTGAATTTACCTTGGTGAGATAAAAACCTACCTCACAAAGACATGAGATTTACTAGGGAACTACCCAAAACATTTAAAAAAGAAATAATATCAGTTCTACATAAATTCTACCAGAATTGAGGAGGTGGAACTTTTCAATAAACTCATTCTATGTGGACTGCAAAGACAAACTAAACTTGCTTTAATTCATGAGAGTTACGATCATAAAGCAAAACAAAACTGTCAGCTGAATTCTGGTATATTCTCATGACTTTGAAGGGCTTTGCATAGACATACATACTCAAAGTAAAGTATAAAATACAAGCTAAAGTTTGTTCTAACTGCTATCAAATCACACTGTAAAAGAGCTCAATATGTGACACATTCAACCATTAGACCCTTTCCCCAGTTATTGCAGTGTGACATTCTCATTTCCATCTGGACACATTCGGCCTTTGGCCTGAGAACAAGGACATGTGATTCTCTTCTTAGGGCAGACTTGCTGCTTGGTCAGCCTTAGAGAAGGGAAAAGAATCAAGCAGGCTAGCTATGCTTCTTCAAACACCGGTACTCACAGTTCATCCTCAAAGCAGATTTTGGCGTACTTGTCTCGGCCGCCACCACTGAGTAACCTGTAGGCGTAGCTGTTAGGGGGACATGGGGCCCAGTGGTCACATTTTTGCCTTTTGGGGACTGGGGCTGTAATGAATGAGAAGATAAGAGTTAGTATCACAAAATTATTTATTAGATGAACCTGCTGCTTGACTGTGAGCTCCAGCAATTCTATTCTAACACTTCATACAACAACTCTGAATGAGAGTGGGGAAAAACCTGAGTGGAGAAAGGTTTCTAAATTCCATTAGGATCCCTGGGAATTCCCCTAAAGATACAAAATTAATCTTACTCAAAGATATGTTGAATAGGCATAACCATTTCAAAAGGGCTGGGCATCACTGCCCAGGGCTGTCCATCATAACTGACATTCTTAGTGTGTAGTGCATACTTGCATTAGAAAAGAAGAAAGATTATGGGGTCTAAAGAGTGTAGTGAATAATGAAAACTGACCATGGAGCATCTATACAGCTCATGTACTAATATAGCCTTAGATAGCTTAAACACACACACACACCCCCCACATACAATACACACACCACACATACTACACATACACATACACTCTACACATATACACAACACACACACACACTTCATAACTCACACCACACTATACACCTGATCAAGAACTGCTCTGAGCACTCTGACCATGCTGATCTGCTCTCCTTTAACTTGAGAACGAATAACAATCTCTTCTGCTTCTGATGCTATGATGTGAGAACTGGCAGCCACTGGGATGTCCCTCCTAGCACCCTCATTTCACAGAGGTCAGGAATTTGGGCAGATTGGAGTGCCAGGCTGAGGCTGGGGGACGAGCTGCCCATTGCCCCTGGTCACTCCTGGTATTCTTATTTCCCATGCTTGTCACAAGCGTCTACTGCATCACCACTATGTGCATATCCCTGTTCAGTTTATGAAGTATCTGTCACCCATAGGAGCCACAGAGATGTGCTTGGTTCAAATTTAGATCCCTAATCTTCAGGAAAAAATTCAGAAATCATTCTTTCCCCCTTCAAATTTGACTGGGAGGTTTGTGTTCTATTTTATAGGTTACTGTTCAAAGACCCCACAAAATTTATTTCTTTCATTGTAGGAATGAACTAAGTGTGCTTAGTTACTATGTAATTACTACATACAGTCAATAAATGGTGAAGTATACATAAGATATCATCAGTAAGAGATCAAGTATAACACTACAGAAAACCATCTAATAAAGAGAGACGAGAAGACAGGAACAAAGGATTAACAAAACAACCAGAAAACAGCGATGAAAATGTCTGTAAATCCTTACTGATCAATAATTATACTTAATATAAGTTGCTTAAATTTTCAAATTGAAAACATGGAATGGCTAATGGATTTTTATAAAGACCTAGCTATATACTGCCTACAAGAAATTCACTTCATCTTTAAGAAAACACATAAATTAAAATTTAGAAGGTGGAAAATATTCTATGCAAATGAAAACCAAAATAGAGCAGGGGCAGTCCTACATATATAATAAAAAAAGACTTTAACTCAGAAACTGTAAAAAGAGACAAAGAAGGTCATTATCTAAAGATAAAGCAGTAAATTCATCCAGATAATATGTCGATTATAAATACATATGCACTCAACAACAGAGAACTAAATAGATAGAGCAAAGAAAGATCTGAAGGGAGAGTCAGACTGCAATACAATAATAATTGTAGCGGACTTCAATATACCACTTTCAACAATTAATGGAACAGACAGAAAATCAAGAATCAATCAGTGAACTTTGTCTCAGTTCATGTTCATGTTGCTATAGAAAAATACCTTAGGGTAATTTATAAACAGTTTATAAAATTTATTTTCAGAAAATCAAGGTTTGTTTTCGGGTCAATGTTTACATGCTGGGCATACATTTGTGTGTTCATGATCTTTGCTGCTGGAAAGGCTCGAGGAGGATCATGGTATGAGACTCTTGAGGATGATCCTTCCCCTGTCTTTTCTCTCTCTCTCTCTCATAAAAATACATAAACTTTTTTTTTTTTTAAGAGATTTCTTTTTAAGCTTCTGGAGACTTGGAAGTACAAAGTCATGGCACTAGTAGATTCAATGCCTGGTGAGGGCCCATTTATCATGGATAGTGTTCAGGGAAAACATACTCCCATTCAATATCTTTCATAAGGACACTAATTGCATTCATGAAGGTACAGCCTTCATGACTTAATTACTCCCTAAAGACCCTTCATCTTAATACTATGACATTGGAAATAAGTTTCAACATACAAATTTTGGTGGGACATCAACATTCAGAACATAGCAGACTTAAACTATACTTTATACTCAAAAGACCTGATAAATGATAAATATATATAAATATATTCCATCTAACAGTGACAGAATGTATGTTCTTCTCAAGAACACTAAGCATTCTCTAGGACAGATCATATGGTAAGCCACAAAACAAGCCTTGACAAATTTAGTAAGATTAAAATCATGTCAACTATCTCTTTTGACCATAATGGTATGAAACTAGAAATCAATAATAACAGTAATTTCAAAAAATTCACAGCTATGCAGCAAACAACACGCTCCTGAACAACCAATAGGTCAAAGAAGAAATTAAAAGGGAAATTAGAAAATTTCTTAAGGTAAATGAATATAAAAATACAACATACCAAAACTTATGGAAAGCATCAAAAGCAGTTCTAAGAGAGAACTTGGTTTTTAGAGGTGGTTGCCTTAGAGCACTCAACAGAGAGAGAGAGAGACAGAGACAGAGACAGAGACAGAGACAGAGGCAGTGAGAAGGGAAGTAAGAAATCAACCCCCCAGTGAAGATGGCCATGCTGCAACCTCATCTTTGCCTTTCTCCTCCTGGGATCTTGGGCAAGGATGCACATGTGCCTGGTGTGAGTTTCAAGCTGCCGGATCTGGGACTTGAATCACAGTTGGCCATGTGGGAGTTCAGCACTATAACTGTTATGCCAAATGGTGGCCCCTAAGAGGGAACTTTATAACTATAAATGCCTATAAATAAGGGAGAAAGATCTCAAATAGACAATGTAATAAATATCTACATTAAGAAAGAATAAAATCTCAAATAAATAAGCTATTAATATATTTCAAGGAACTAGGGGAAAACACATGAACAAAATAAGTCCAAAGTTAGCAGAAGAAAAATAAAACTGACCAAGGTATCAGCAGAAATAAATGAAATAAAGACTGGAAAACCAATATAGAAGGTCAAAACGAAACAAAGATCTAGCTCGTTTAAAAGATAGGCAAACTCTTAGCTAGACTATGAGCAAAAGAGAGAAGATTCAAACAAAATCAGAAATGAAATTAATCAGAAATTATCATTAATATCACAGAAACATAAAAGCTCAAAGGAGATTATTATGAACAATCATACAAAAAACTGGAAAACTTAGAAGAAATGGATAAAATCCTGAAAAGATATAAGCTACTAAGACTAACTCAAAATGAAATAGAAAATTCAAAGAAACCAATAACAAGTAAGATTGAATCAGTAATGAAGTCTCCCACTCTATTGTTCAACCTTTCCTGAGAAACAGAATCAACAAGATGAATATACATATAAAAGAAGGAATTTATTACAGAAATTATTCCACATGATAATAAAGTAGAGAAATCCCACAATAGTCTGTCTGCAAACTGGAGAAACGGTTGTAAGGCTCTGAAGCAGTGAAGTCAATGATGCAGCTTCCAATCAGAGGTGGAAGGCCTGAGGGCCCTCAGAGGCCACGGTTGAGTCCAAGTCAAAAAGTTCAGGAATCTTAAGAGAAGACAAAAATCCTTAACTTTAACTTTGGAAAACAAAGCATGGAAGAAGATTGGTAATATTTTAGTCAAAAGTCACAAGATTGCCTTTCTTGAAATTAAAAAAATATATTAAAAATATTAAAAAGTCATGATGCATTTAAAAAAAAAAAAAAAAGCTCTGGAATCTTCAGTCTGTCTGGTTGAAGGGGTGTAGAGGCCAGGTGTAAGCAGAAACTGAATTCAGCCAACGGCCAAATTGTGGAAAACGTGCAGGCAGTAAGAGTAGAATACACACAGCACACTCTTGAAAGAAGGGTCCAGAGAAAGGGTGCGAACAGAATTGCCTAGTTGCTTTTTTGTCCATCCCACACCCCAGCCAAGTGGAAGGTGCCTACCCACACTAAAGGTAGTTCTTCACCTCGATCCACTGACTTGTGTGCCAATCTTGCCTGGTGACATTTTCCAGACACACCCAGGAAAAGTGCTTCATCAAGAATCTAGGCACCCAAAATTAACCATCACACCCATCAGAGTAAAGCCTAGGAACAGATGATTTCACAACTGAACTCCAACCATTTAAAGAATATCAATTCTTCTCAAACTTTCAAAAAGGTAAAGAGGAGAGAATACTTCCAAACTAATTTTACAGGGCCAGCAGTACCCTGATATTAAGCAACATGCTCCTGAGCAACCAATGTGTCAAGGAAGAAATTAAAAGGGAGACCAGACCAGACAAAGACTACAAAAGAGAAAAGTAAAGAAAAGAAAAGAAAAGAAAATTATATACCAACATCTCTGATTAGTATAAATGCAAAAATCCTTAACAACATACTAACAAACTGACAATACATTGAATCATGCTTACCATAAGCAGGGATGGAAGTTATGCAGGAAGCTGGGGTGCATAGGTCCAATACCCAATGCAGAAACAGTAATGAACCGGATTCTTTGTCTCACGCGCATGAAGAATTAGAAATGCAGATAGAGGGAAGGAATAGTAAAGCAGAATTATTAAAAGAGGAAAGGAGGAACAGAGCTCCCAGGCAGGCAGGGAAGAGTCCTGAACAGGGCGCTGAAGAGGACTGAGGCAGGGTTTTTTAAAAATTATTATTATTATTATTTTTTTATCTTGGTTAGGAGGGGCTTTGTCTGGGCTTGTTCTCAGGAGTGGCTTGTGCATGCATTCTCCTCATGGGGGTCATATGCTAGATGGGTCCAATTATTTCTCTTAATCTTGGAGTGGTTACAATGTCATGAGACTCTTTGTCTAAAAGCTTGGGGTCATAAAAACTACTATCTTATCTCCTTCATTGAATGTGGTGGGGCTTGGG